CTATGCTATGATCGGTGTACTATTGCCAGAATTGTAAATCCCAGCACCTCAACAAGAACGCTGAGGGGAGGAGCCGGCAGCATGTAAGCAGCAGCCACCCGAGCATAGGAAGCTCATCTTTGAATTTAACTTATATGACTAGTGCTGCTGCTAATATTTTTTCTTGGAGATCTGCCTTAAAGGAGAATTATAAGGCGAGTGATTTTCACTCAGCCTCATAATCTGAGCCGACCTGTGACAATGAAACTGTCACCGGCCGGCTCAATAGATCGGGAAGTGAGTGAACACATACTGTCGCTCGCTTCTCGATCATGTCCCTGCAGAGAGCCTTGACTGTCACTCACGGCTCCCTGCAAGGATCCCCCCTCCCCGTTCCGATCGTCCAGCGCTAACTGGCGGAGGGGGCGGGCACTGCTGGCTCTGCCTCTAGATAGGCAGAGCCAGCTGTCACTCACGCAGCTGGGTGGATCCAGGCAGTAATGTCAGGATCCGTCCCGGCTGCGGCGTCTCAGTATACCGCGAGCTGTAGCTTGAGGTATACTGAGCTTTGGGTCATGGGAGAACGCTAGTTTGTGTTCTCCCGTGACCCTTAGTGGAACTATGGGGAAAAGCCCTGACCTCATAGTTCTCCTTTTAAGTTTAACACAGCAATAAAAGGACATGAATTGGTGAATAGAGTTTTTGTGTATACAATTGTAAAATATGGACATTCAGATAACATATTCCATTATTGGAAGCAGAATTTATATATGTGAAGTCAGATACATCATAAGCATAATTATTATGAATGGAAACAAAAAAACAGGGACAAAGGGATGGGATATATTTAAAGTATGGATTCTCCTTTTTCTTGTTTCTTATAATCAATGGACCCAGCACAATTGTTAGACCAAATTTCACAAAAGGTGGTAGGGAAACCATATTGGAATACATAATTTTCTAGTTTTGTACTTATGAAAAGAATAAGATAAAATATCACACTCAAATCCCAAATTTTGAGTTCTCAGTATACAAGGAATAGAAGGGAAAGCAACATGAATTTCAGTGTACACAAACGCAATGTAACACTAAATTATTTTTTGTAAAATATAAAAGATGAGGTAGTGGTTCGCACTTCTGCTTTGCAGCCCTGGGGTTCCTGGTTTGTATTCTGGTCAGGACACTATCTACATGGAGTTTGCATGTCCCCCTGTGCTTGCGTGGGTTTCCTCCCACACTCCAAAGACATGCTGGAAGGTTAGTTGGCTTTTGTCTAAATCAGCCCTGTATGTATGTGTGTGAGAGATGGGGACCTTAGAGTTTAAGCTCCTTGAGGGTAGGGACTGATGTTGAATGTGCACTGTGTAAAGTGATGCGTAAAATTGTCGGCGCTATATAAATGCCTGTCGTAAATAATTGATACCAAACATGTCAAACCTTGAAATTGCACATGCCCCTGAAATTGCAAAAAAATATAGTACCCAAAAGTGCCCGCAGGCAATAGCATGGCCTTTACGGCTAATCAGTTTAGAATTACAGTGAGTGATCGCCCTAGAATTATTGCTCTCACTCAAACTTTTGCTTCGATATGTAATGCATGGTGCAACTGTTGTTTTCACACATAGTTGCACACTGTGTGTGTGTGCGCGGAGGGTTTTAATTAGGGATGTCCCGATGCCACTTTTTCAGGCCCAAGTACAAGTACATCCCCTCATGTACTTGCTGATACCAATTACCTTTTTCTTAAAGGGACAGGTGACCTTAAATGATCCATAGTACAACTACATGTTATGTACTATGGATCATGATTTAACCTATTCGTGTACTTACTTGCCGAGCATTGCGTCACTGCTGCTCCGGTGGGCAGCGCTCCGAGCGGGGTCAACTGGCAGTCTCTGGCCACCTAAATTAGGACCCCACCTGGAGCTCCGCCCACCGGAGCAGCAGTGACAAGACGCTCGGCGAGGTAAGTAAGAGAAAAAAAAAAAAGAACATAGCGTAAGCTTCGGCGCTATGTATCGGGGCATTTTGACAAGCACTTGTCAAAATGCCCTGTATCGGGCCCGATTCCGATGCTAGCATCGGTATCGGGACATCCCTAGTTTTAATATTATTTTTGTTATTTCTGACATATTTTTTTATTGCTATTAAATAGGGGGGCTAACAACTCCCTTATGAGATGGCACAGAGGAAGTGACAGGTTCTCTTTATGGAGACATTTGGGGTATATAAGACCCCTATTGTCACCTATGGACCCCACAGAAGCTGATGAAGCACAGATCATGTTTCTCTAGTCACTGCAGCTGGAAAAATGACAGTCTGTAACTGGAGGGGAGATCCGTCACTGGAAGTGTGCAGCAGCAGGGTCCTGCCGTGCCTGCATGAGGGACAGTAGAGCCTGGGATAGCCAGGGGGACACTTTTCAGTACCATACAAGTGATTATGGCAGTGGAGACACCTGATCAATGGTATGTAATAGCCGGAAGTTGGCTGCGAACAACAATAGCAAGATCAAGGGGTGCAGCAAGATCACGGGGTGTTCCACTTTGGTATGAGGAGGTATATATATACGTTCGGCAGTACTAAAGTGCTTAAGGAATGCATTGTTGTCACCTCTACACCCTCAGTCTGTTGACTGGACAGTGCAGCAGCAACACACTGTTAAGACTGTCCCCACTATTCTCTCTACTTCTGTTAGCATGTGTGAAGGCATAAGAGTTTGGCTAGTGCTGCCTCTTCCAATCTTTGTTGCTGTGCAGGGGATTATTGGAGACTACATAATAAGACAGATGCAGTTATTATGCTAGTATTATGTCAAAAAATATTTTTGCAGTCAGATATAAATCATTATACACATCCTCAAATCTAGTTTATTTGATGTGTTCCACCTTTACCTGTTGATCTTACTAGTATGAAACTTCCTGTCCTAAGGTGACAACATAGAGATTCCGTGCTTCTGCAGAAGTAGCTCAGTCACCTTAGGATGCATGGCCTGCTGGCTGACTGCGATGGCATGTGTGCATCTTGGCTGCTGCATAGCCTCCAGTTTAAATACTGTACACCGCTAAGACGGGGTGCACTCGAAATAGAGGGTGCGGCACAAAGCTGAAGTGTTCTTGGCAAATAAGGTTCAGAGAAAAAAAATTGTTTAGTTTGGTCGGGTAATTTATGTGCTATGCTGGGTTTACTGCTAATGTGATCACTTATGTGATACTAATAGTAATGTGATCCCTTTGTCTAGCTGTCATGGTGATTTGTATCTTTGCCCATTTTTCATGTCATTTCCACAATTTTGCTTTGCTGTGAGCTGTCATGAAGTTAAATGGAATTATTGATTTACAATGTTCATGTCTTACCAAATAGATTGATTTCTCCCAGACCTATTTGCTCATATAAGGGCTGCAACCCATTAATCGATAATGAGAATAGTTGTCAACCATTCTTATTATTAAATAGTTGGTTGGATCCCCTAGCTCTCTCCTCCAGGCTGGGAGGAGGGCACATTGGCTTCTATTGGCTACTGCAATTTGAAATGACCAATAGCAGGCTGACTATTGCACCAGCCCAATACCTGCTGTATTTACATTCAGCTGCCATATGCGGAACCTTGCCACTGGCAGCGGTCATTTTTTGACTGAAGCTATTCAAGAGCCATGTGCTTACAATACAATTATTATAAAAGGTGGGAAAAAAGTAATTTTCGGTTTCAGTCTGACAAATTCTGCTGCAGTAGGTGCGTTGCAGTGCCATTAATTTCAATGACACCCCCAACGTGCCTCCAACCCACAGTGTGATCACCCGCACTGGAACACATGGTCCTGCAATGCCGTGTGTTACAGTGCAGTGCGATCGCAAAAAATTGTGCATGCAGTTTTATTCTGAAGTAAACTTTGTTTGTAATACTGCATTTGTGTATTTTATATAAAATTACGGATGGTATTTGTTTACATTTAAAAAAAATATTAATCGAAAAAATAATCAGCCAACTAATCGATTTATGAAAATAATCATCAGTTGCAGCCCTAGCTCACTTAACTATATACTCTGGAAAGGTATAACTCAAAACTGTTATCTAGACTGAATAGCTAGGCTGACATTCATGGCTTGATGGAAATTCATGATGCATTGTTTATGACCTTCATTTTCATGCTACTGAGACATTAAAATGATATTAAAGGCAAAAGGTTTTCAGGCAATTTCATATGCTGGTTAAATCGGTTACAATGGATGCTGCTCCTTGAAGTTTAAAAGTTTTAGTTTCCTGCAGAATTAGCTGGTCCCCGGAGTGATGTTCCTGATATCCTCTTATAGGGTGAATCCTTTATCCTGCAGGGTCCTATAGAGCCACCCTTGTGTGTGCTGGTAAGCTGTGTGTGTCTTTACAAACACACAGTAGAAAGCAGAAATCAGCAGCACTCAGTAAATATCTTTGATGTCCATTTAATCGTGCCAATCGTCAATTGTCATGTACAAAATAGCGACGTTTCGGGGCCGCACAGGATCCCTTCATCAGGTCGACAATTATAAATAAATATAATTTATAATATTGTGAGTGTGATTTCTGCTTTCTACTGTTGCACGGTGCCATCCGTGATTGTCACTGCGAGCACCACTACATGTACTTGGGCCGGGAGCGCTGTAAGGAGTGCAGAGGGACTTACTACTTTCTACAAACACACAGACACAGCAGGGCAATCCACTCCCCTACCCTGCGCTCTCCACTCCTCCTTTTCTCCTTCCTTCTTCCTCCCTTCTTCCTTTCCAAGCTAGTAGATAGACAGTTGTTGGAGGCTGCTCTGTCTCTTGTGATCTTGTATTGGACAGGAAGTTCAGGGAAGTGGATCTGAGTTGGAGTGAGCTGTTTGGAAACATGATAACTGTAAGTGGTTGGGGAGAAATTTAAAGAAATACTTTGCTGAGCAATGTATATTTGTTTAACTTTGATTATTAAAAAAAAAGTTTGAGAGTTTAATACAACTTTAATTATCTGCCATATTTTTTTCTTATTTATATTTGTGCAGTAAATATGTCAAGGCCTAATAGCATGTCACCTAGCCCTGGAACAGCTCAGCACCCAGGTGCTTCTAAGCATGGCAAGGCAAAGGGATTTAAAGACATTCGAATTGATGAAGAAGTGAAAATTGCTGTCAATATTGCACTGGAAAGGTTTCGCTATAGCGATCAAGAAGGTAGGTTCAAAAAGTAGTTCATATCTGTCTTCGTTTGGTGGAGTACAAGCTGCTTTTGTGTTTAGTGCTCAGATTTCAAGTAAGAAAAAAAAGTTTTTGTCTTCAGTTTATCCCAGGGGTCTCAAACTCAATTTAGTCAGGGGCCACTGGACACATTTTTTAGTCCCGTGGGGCCGCCACTATATACGGTACCAGTTTTAATGTATGCACATGTTACAAGCAGCAACTGTCACCCATTCAAATTAATGATCAGTTGCTGCATGTACACGCCTGCACACCGCATGTAATCATATGTGAAAGGATTACATGCAGTTACAAAAACAATCACTCTCCCTGGATACACGATTGTTTATCCAGGGAGAGTGATTGTTTTTGTAACTGCATGTAATCCTTTCACATATGATTACATGCGGTGTGCAGGACAGGAGCAGCTCTGCGGTCTGCATCCGACAGGGATGCAGACCATGTAGCTGCTCCCGAAAGTCGGGCACGCGATTCGTGACCATGTACCCGACTTGTCAGCTGGCTGCGGGCCACATAGTACCGGCTTGCGGGCCGGTACTTTGAGACCCATGGTTTAGCCCTTTTCCCTTTCATGAGGACTGTGACAATTTTATATAAACATAATCCATTTAACAATCGTGTAAAGCCACCTTCTGCTTCTGTTTTTATACACAAGATCTTTTAACCCCTTCATGACTGAGGCCTTTTTTTCATTTTTTGTACCCATGTTATATTCCACAACATATGTTATATAATACAGTATATCAAGCATAAACACTACTGAGTACTGTTTAGTCTGGAACTTAGTGTAATTTCAGAAAAACAACAATGGTTTGTGCAAAAAAACATTATTTGAAACATGCTTCTGTGTTGGCTTTATCAGTCCTGACATGTTGGGAAAAAAAGAGGATTTGTGTCCCCTAAAATAACAGGGACGCTGTTTTCATCTAATACCAACCAGCTCTCTCACAATTGCTGTGTGGCCTGCCCTTCTTGTTTTTCTTGGTTGCCTATTGATCTGTAGTGCCGACTATCTCACTTTTTGACCAGTAGGGAGCTGTTGAGGGAGAAAATGTGTTGGCCACACCACAGCAACCATGAGAGTGGATGCTGTTTACAGTTTACAGTATCATGGTTTTTCTGGTGGTACCAGGACATTCAGGTGAGGGAGTTGGAGTACCCACAGGTTTATTTTATAGTATCATGCCCTGTGAAAATAAATCTGTTTTTTATTGTGGTTGGGAATTCTCTAGAGTGGCTCCAGCAGATGAGAATCAAGGTTGGGTATGCTTCAAGGAAACCATCAGCTGGCCTGACCTGCCCTGGGAACCCTCGGCTCCCTGTCTGGACTGCCCTGGGAACCCTCGGCGCCCGCTCTGGACTGCCCTGGGAACCCTCGGCGCCCGCTCTGGACTGCCCTGGGAACCCTCGGCGCCCGCTCTGGACTGCCCTGGGAACCCTCGGCGCCCGCTCTGGACTGCCCTGGGAACCCTCGGCGCCCGCTCTGGACTGCCCTGGGAACCCTCGGCGCCCGCTCTGGACTGCCCTGGGAACCCTCGGCGCCCGCTCTGGACTGCCCTGGGAACCCTCGGCGCCCGCTCTGGACTGCCCTGGGAACCCTCGGCGCCCGCTCTGGACTGCCCTGGGAACCCTCGGCGCCCGCTCTGGACTGCCCTGGGAACCCTCGGCGCCCGCTCTGGACTGCCCTGGGAACCCTCGGCGCCCGCTCTGGACTGCCCTGGGAACCCTCGGCGCCCGCTCTGGACTGCCCTGGGAACCCTCGGCGCCCGCTCTGGACTGCCCTGGGAACCCTCGGCGCCCGCTCTGGACTGCCCTGGGAACCCTCGGCGCCCGCTCTGGACTGCCCTGGGAACCCTCGGCGCCCGCTCTGGACTGCCCTGGGAACCCTCGGCGCCCGCTCTGGACTGCCCTGGGAACCCTCGGCGCCCGCTCTGGACTGCCCTGGGAACCCTCGGCGCCCGCTCTGGACTGCCCTGGGAACCCTCGGCGCCCGCTCTGGACTGCCCTGGGAACCCTCGGCGCCCGCTCTGGACTGCCCTGGGAACCCTCGGCGCCCGCTCTGGACTGCCCTGGGAACCCTCGGCGCCCGCTCTGGACTGCCCTGGGAACCCTCGGCGCCCGCTCTGGACTGCCCTGGGAACCCTCGGCGCCCGCTCTGGACTGCCCTGGGAACCCTCGGCGCCCGCTCTGGACTGCCCTGGGAACCCTCGGCGCCCGCTCTGGACTGCCCTGGGAACCCTCGGCGCCCGCTCTGGACTGCCCTGGGAACCCTCGGCGCCCGCTCTGGACTGCCCTGGGAACCCTCGGCGCCCGCTCTGGACTGCCCTGGGAACCCTCGGCGCCCGCTCTGGACTGCCCTGGGAACCCTCGGCGCCCGCTCTGGACTGCCCTGGGAACCCTCGGCGCCCGCTCTGGACTGCCCTGGGAACCCTCGGCGCCCGCTCTGGACTGCCCTGGGAACCCTCGGCGCCCGCTCTGGACTGCCCTGGGAACCCTCGGCGCCCGCTCTGGACTGCCCTGGGAACCCTCGGCGCCCGCTCTGGACTGCCCTGGGAACCCTCGGCGCCCGCTCTGGACTGCCCTGGGAACCCTCGGCGCCCGCTCTGGACTGCCCTGGGAACCCTCGGCGCCCGCTCTGGACTGCCCTGGGAACCCTCGGCGCCCGCTCTGGACTGCCCTGGGAACCCTCGGCGCCCGCTCTGGACTGCCCTGGGAACCCTCGGCGCCCGCTCTGGACTGCCCTGGGAACCCTCGGCGCCCGCTCTGGACTGCCCTGGGAACCCTCGGCGCCCGCTCTGGACTGCCCTGGGAACCCTCGGCGCCCGCTCTGGACTGCCCTGGGAACCCTCGGCGCCCGCTCTGGACTGCCCTGGGAACCCTCGGCGCCCGCTCTGGACTGCCCTGGGAACCCTCGGCGCCCGCTCTGGACTGCCCTGGGAACCCTCGGCGCCCGCTCTGGACTGCCCTGGGAACCCTCGGCGCCCGCTCTGGACTGCCCTGGGAACCCTCGGCGCCCGCTCTGGACTGCCCTGGGAACCCTCGGCGCCCGCTCTGGACTGCCCTGGGAACCCTCGGCGCCCGCTCTGGACTGCCCTGGGAACCCTCGGCGCCCGCTCTGGACTGCCCTGGGAACCCTCGGCGCCCGCTCTGGACTGCCCTGGGAACCCTCGGCGCCCGCTCTGGACTGCCCTGGGAACCCTCGGCGCCCGCTCTGGACTGCCCTGGGAACCCTCGGCGCCCGCTCTGGACTGCCCTGGGAACCCTCGGCGCCCGCTCTGGACTGCCCTGGGAACCCTCGGCGCCCGCTCTGGACTGCCCTGGGAACCCTCGGCGCCCGCTCTGGACTGCCCTGGGAACCCTCGGCGCCCGCTCTGGACTGCCCTGGGAACCCTCGGCGCCCGCTCTGGACTGCCCTGGGAACCCTCGGCGCCCGCTCTGGACTGCCCTGGGAACCCTCGGCGCCCGCTCTGGACTGCCCTGGGAACCCTCGGCGCCCGCTCTGGACTGCCCTGGGAACCCTCGGCGCCCGCTCTGGACTGCCCTGGGAACCCTCGGCGCCCGCTCTGGACTGCCCTGGGAACCCTCGGCGCCCGCTCTGGACTGCCCTGGGAACCCTCGGCGCCCGCTCTGGACTGCCCTGGGAACCCTCGGCGCCCGCTCTGGACTGCCCTGGGAACCCTCGGCGCCCGCTCTGGACTGCCCTGGGAACCCTCGGCGCCCGCTCTGGACTGCCCTGGGAACCCTCGGCGCCCGCTCTGGACTGCCCTGGGAAACCCTCGTCTCCAGCTCTTTAATGCCCTGGGAAACCCTCGCCTCCAGCTCTGGAATGCCCTGGGAACCCTCGGCTCCCGCTCTGGACTTCCCTGGGAAACCCTCGTCTCCAGCTCTGTAATGCCCTGGAAACCCTCGCCTCCAGCTCTGGAATGCCTTAGAATAGAGTAGGATTGAACAGGGAGTTCCTGTGAAACAGGGATTTTGGTTGTTGTACTGGATTGGACTGTCAGTCCACATGATGAAGTGGGGAAAGTGGGCACAGGTCTATAATTTGTAAAGATGTCGAGGACTGGATTGGTTTACTTGCTCTGAAATTTTATAAAATAATTGAAGAGATTGTGTTTTAATCTAATTTTTAATTAGACTGAATTCCTTTTTTTATTTTCTTATTTAAGAAATGGAGTTCCCTTCTTCCTTGACCAGCACCGAGAGAGCTTTTATCCATCGTCTAGCTCAGTCACTTGGGCTAATATCTAAGAGTAAAGGGTAAGTTAATATGACTCTTTGTCATTCTTTCATGAACAGTCTGCTCTGGAAAACGCCTTTAGACCAACATAAAATGCAGATACTTGTCCTTGTACCAGCTGGAATGCTCTGATGTTCTACTTTGTTCTCCTTACTCATGACGGCTTGTGTTCTCTGTAGAACTTTACTGACACCATCCTGCATTTCCTGACATGAGTGTCAAGGACATGGAGTGTCAAGCACCTTCTCTTCAAATGTAGTTTTGCAGCAGCTTCAGACCTAACACACTATGCTGTTTAATATACCTACAAACCTAACGTGAGTGTTACCCAGACAGCTTATTTCTGTCAGATTATAATGATCCTTCTGTTTATGGGTACCTGGAGAAACTCATGAATTGACTGTTTTTGTAGGAATAATTGACAGGTCAAGCTGTATTTAATTGTTTTACATTTTTTGTAGCCTATCACTAGCACCACTGAATCATAAACATTTTTTTTGTGCGGTGTTATTTGTCTGTGGTGCACTTTTGCTTTTTGGCTCATTGTCATGCTTTTTGTAGGAAAGCTACTAATAGGTACTTAACAATAAGAAAGAAGGATGGGAGTGACGCCATTGGTACTCTCATGGCATGCTGTCTGACATACAACACCAAACACATCCTGAGGGGCCTCATCCAGCGTTTTCCCATCACTAACAAAGAGAAGACAGAACTGCTTCCAAAGACCGAGCGGAGCAATGTTTTCGCAATAGAAGCTGGTGAGTTGCCTATCTCAACGTTGTTTAGACATAGGACATATTTTGTCCATTCTGCATTCCATACACACTATAAGACATTTTTTGACATTCCAACATCTCCCGCAATAACACTGCCTAGTTGGTTTTGCAACATCTGTCAGAGATTCATTGCAAAGCTTTAGGGTAGAATGCTGTTAGGCCCCTTTCACACTGGCTAATCAGGAGTGGATCCGTGCACGGATACTTTCCTCATCACAGCAATACGGAGCGAATGTCGCCGATATCCTTGTCCATACAGTTTTTTCTTCTATCTTGCGATGGAGGAAAAAAAAACTGCATTTACCAGACCCCATGTCTGTCTATGGGGTCTGGTAAATGCAGGGGGGATGTAAACGGACATGTGTCCATTTATATCAGATTACCCCCGATCCGGCACGATCCGGTCCGGTGAAATGGAACACTATTCAGTTTGTTTTTCAGGACCTGACTGGAGTCAGGGGTAACCAGGTGTAAATGGGCACCCGTTCATTTACACATGGCTGCCCATGGACTTACATTGGGCATCCGGAATCAGTTTGTAAAGGACATGCTAAAACAAACTGCTTTTTCGTAAGAACATTTAGGAATCTGCAACAAAGTTTGTTAAAATCCCTTTAATGTAAACTGATCACCTAGAGTGGGTTGATTCACAAGTCCACAAAAGTGGAACACACAAAAAAAGCACCGCTCCTCCACGGCCCAGGAAAGGAATGAGCCGGGGTGCTTGCCGCTGAGAGCACATTCTTGCTCCAATATGAGCCCATACAAACAAAAGAAAAGCTGGCTGCACACCAGATTCTGTTGGGATAGTTTATTGACACTTGTACCACATCACTGGTGTCCCACCCAAGGCCTGCCCCCTGACACATTTCACCCAATTACAGACTTATCTACGGCTAAACCTGTGATTGGGTGAAACAAGTCGGGGGAACAGACCTTGGACGGAGCCACCAGTGATGTGGTACAAGTTTCAGTAAACCATCCCAGCGGAATCCTTTGTGCGGCCAGCTTTTCTACTGTTTGTTCTTTTCTTCTTAAGAAAAAGTAGTTTGTTTTAGCATGTCCTTTACAAACTGATTCCTGAATGGGAGGGTCTGGGGTTAATTATAATCAGCTGGCGGACTTTCTGTGTTGTAATGAGGAAAGGTGCAGTGTCTGCATCCCCTTAGTAGTAATTTAACCCTTAGGGAGTTTCTTCGCAAAAATGAAATTCCTGTTGCAAGGGATGCCTAAAATTGTACTTCTATCTTAGTCAGCCAATCATAGAAGCTGGAAATGTCATTCCTGGGGGCATTCAGTATACCAGCTGTGTACATCCAGGTCGCCATTTTTCATTGAATTTTTTGGGCAGTTTTAGAGAGTTACAGTGCCTGCAGTTTTATATAGAAAGGTTTTTGCATAAAATGACTTGTGCAATAATTATATGCTATGTTCATTTTTTCACAATTCTTTAATTTTAATTTTTACTGGAGTTTCCCTTTTCCCCACACAAATGTATGCCTTCAGAAGACCATAAACTGCAGTTAATGTAATTGCTAGAAATTCTGTCTAAATTGTTACAAGTCAGCCTAATGTTGAAATCAGGCTTGCAGAGTGAGTGGTGCATTGTAGTGAGAGGAAAGAATTTAGATGAGTTTATATGAGAGAAAGAGAGCTTGGGGTGGATGTGATGTAGCAGACCAGAAAGCAGGTTAGCGGTAGGGATTTGGCACCGAGCCTGCATATCTAAGGCTGTGAAAAGTGTTGTCAACCATAAAGCACATAAAGTGAGTGAGTTTCAAGAGTATTGCTATAAGGGACAGTATAACCATACAGGTTCTGGTGAGAAGGGAATAAAGCATTAAAAAAGCTCTCACTGTAATCAATGTGTAACACAGTAAAGGCTTCTTAAAACACAATGGGGGGAATTTATGAAAACTGCAGCAGACAAAACCTGGAGCAGCTGTGCATGGCAACCAATCGGCTTCTCTATTCAGTTAGTTCAGTTAAGATTTGAAAATGAAAGCGAGAAGCTGATTGGCTGCCATACACAGCTGCTCCAGATTTTGTCTGCTCCAGTTTTTATAAATTCCCTTCAATGTACTCGCATGCCTCATTCCATCAAATATCCCAAAAGGCATGGAAGAGCTATATGTAGTTTGGAAAAAATGGCTTTTTATTATTAGGCTATATCTGCACTATGCAACCAAGGTTCAGGATTTGCATCTGGCCAGTAGAGTGTAAAGCAATGATTTGCATTGCTCCCCCCACTGTCCAGAAATGAGGAATAGTCCTCTTATTTTTGGTATATGTGATGGAACGAGGCATGTGAATACATTGAAGGGAATTTATCAAAATCTGGAGCAGCTGTGCATGGCAACCAATCAGCTTCTCGCTTCAGTTTGTTCAGTTAAGATTTGAAAATGGAAGACAGATGCTGATTGGTTTCCCTGGGCAACTGCTCCAGATTTTGTCTGCTCCAGTTTTTTGATAAATTCCCCTCATTCTGTTTTAAGAAAGCTTTACTGTGCTACACAAGATTGTTACTATATAAAGCTGTTGTTCGGTATAAGCTATTGTTTGCGTATTTGAATTGTGTATCCAGCTGTTTGGCTGGCTTTTTAAAGGATAGCACAACTTGAGATAAAATGTGCCAACAGTAATCCTCATACTTTGCCTTCCGAAGAAAACCGCGAGATGAGCAAGTCCAGTGGCCGCTTGAGCAGTGGCATTCCCCAAGTCCCAGTGAAGAGAGGAGATTCAGAGTTTGATACCTTTCGCCAGTCCTTACCAGTATATGAAAAACGGGAGGAAATTCTCAAAGTTATTAAAGAAAATAAAGTTCTGCTGATTGTGGGAGAAACTGGATCAGGAAAAACCACACAGGTAACTCCTAGTATTCATTCATTTATGTATTATACAGAAATGTAATGAAGCTGGGGAAACGCACGTCGGATTAAAATGTAGGAGTTTAATAACAACCACAACCAAGGCAGTATAATACAGTATGATTAAAACTTTACTGGCTTCATACATAC